AACATTTATTTCTCTCAACTGGGAAAAGTTTTTCAGAAATTATTTCTCTGACATGTTTTTCTACATGTCTAGAACATCCTACAAAATTTTATAATTTTTGGAGTTCATTTACTATTTTAAATTGATTTTACAAAACAGCTACGCACTGCTACAGTATTCCGGTCGACCGGAAACGTCTCTGGACGTTGGTTACTGTAGCTAACGGCTATAATTCCCAGATTTTGATATAATTCCGGTCGACCGAGGGCGCAGACATCAAACACTCATAATGTCTGATGAACCAGGCCATCAAATACATGTAAGACAGGTGAACCCGGGGGTTCAGGGTCTTGGCCACCTCTTCTACCCCTTCCCCATAAACAAACGAGACGCGAAAAAACTACATTGACAGCTTCCGAAGCCCGTTGTGAATACAGGTCGTCATAGCTGACACTAAGGCATATGGTCATCCATATGCCAAGCAGACAGCTGGGTAGACCACATCCACCAAAATTGACTCGAAGGAATTCATGGGAATCACGCATCTCTTCAGCCACAACATCAAGTAGCCAGCAAGCAAAGCTTTTGCCAATATCGCGAACTTGGCTTGATGATGGTACGACTCAAAGGTTAGCCTAGCCTGGAAACCATCTTCATCATGATCAAGAGATGTTGAATCGCTGCTCTCGGATATTCTCCTTTCTATCTCTATCGGATCACACTCATTCAGTGGTAGGATGGCTCATCTCTTATCCTTGTTATGAGGGAACAAGTAATCCGCCCAGTTCTTATGATTGATGCATGTCATCCTTTTATTCTTACCCTTGTGATCTACCAATCCAAGGGTATCCAAGAAGATGTAGTAGTGGTAGAGAAGCTCCCATAGAGTCTCTACCATCTGAGGGGCCTGATCAGAAAGGTGGTCGATTTCTTGTCGGTTGGGGACGTACTCTTCGTACGGGAACTCCCCCATTGGCAGTCCAGACACTTCATACATCTCATAAAGCACCAGCCCTAACTCCCCGTTCGGCGTGAAAAATGTGCCGCTGTCCAGACAGTAGAGTTCCAGAATGTTGTGAAGCTAGGGAGTGTTGATTTTGAGGCTGTGCTGAGTGGCCCTGATAGCCCTATATAGATCTGACCCATGCAAGTCAGAGTTCTCCGCTAACACGTATTTGGTGATTTTGTACCATTATGGGCCATTGCCCGTCGACGAGTGAACCCACCCGGGAGCTCTGAAATCCTTTGGGGGGAACTGACCCCCAGCTCTGAAGAAACATAGACGAAAGTTCTCGAACACCGCAGGTGTTTCTCCCATAGGTAGCTCACTCTGTAGGAGGCCCGGGTGTAGCATGATGACATGCTTACTAGAGCTGTCAACCCCATAACCAATCGAAGAACCTGTGAAAAGTCCACAAGTAACTCCGTCTTGAGATGGAGTTAGCTCCTAGTTAATGGTGTGGGGGACAAAGAGGGAACATATTTCTACCAACAAGAACCCCCTCACCATGCCGGGGGGGGGGATAATGAACCCCATCTATCTCACGGAGCCACATGCTCTCACTAAGAAACATGATGGAGGGGTCAACTACGGCATTGCCAAACATAAAATCAGGTTTCCCTATACCCCGACGCTGAGATTCCACTAGCGCCATGTCTGTGGATAGTTCCCGCAGCGTCAAATAGTGTCCCTCAGACACCACTTGCTTCAGCTCACTCGGCCTATCAACTTTAAACCCCGGCATCGGGTCAAGGAGCGAAAACCAAGGAGGAACCGTGAAACCAGTACTGCCATCAAGTCCAATGGCCCTGCCCCTCGAGAAGGCCTCATTAGAGAAGGCAGTTGCAAAGCACAACAAGGAGTTAGGACATTTTCAACCTTTTTGAAAAAAATTCTAAGTCTGCGAAACAGGCTATGTGCCATGATCGACGAAGCTCGCCTGATAAGGCTGACCTCACCTGAACAAAGTAGATCTCACCTGATAAGGTTGAGCTCTCTTGACTAGGCTAAACTCGCATAATAGGCAAAGTTCGCCTGATAAGCTTGAGCCACCTGACAAAGTAGAGCTCGTTTGATAAGCAAAGCTCACCTGACAAAGGCAGAGCTCGCCTGATAAGCAAAGCTCGCTTAACAAAGGTAAAGCTCGCCTGAATAGCAAAGCTCGCCATGAAACAACTAATGTTCATCTTCCCTAACTAGTTCAAACGATTCTCAAACCTACCAGAATGGGATCAGACAACTGCAGCGGCTGCGACAACGCTAGAAGCAGTGGAAAAGGAAGCTTTCCCCTTCCCCTTAGAGGCAAGCATTTTCCTGGGTGCCATCTCAGACTTGAAACAAGGGAGGCTGAGAATTTTTTTCTCTTTACAAAAGCTTAAGTGAGCGAAAATTTTAAGCAGGCAGAAATCTCCCAAGGAGGGAGATGAAGCCTATTTATAGCCAATCCTCCGATGGTTGAGATTCAACATCTCAACCAAACCCAACGGCTCGAATCGACTACAATAGTTCACACTCGACAATTCGACTCGAACGGTCGAGAGCGAATCTCAGATCAAATGGTTCGAGTCCAGACCGACGAGGCGGTTCACCTTCAAATCAACAACTGAGATCAAAGCTTTTTTAAATCAGCAACCACCATCTCTCATCGAAACAACAATCGAGATCAAAGAGTGAGAAGATGAGGTCATCCCATCAGATCATATTTATTATGATCTGACAAGCCCTCGCCGCCTTAGCTGGCGAGCACAAAGCGCACACCTACGAACATGTGGCCTGGCCATCAACTTTTAGGTGTTGCCTACGAGTTTGAGCTCACCTTCCAGCATGAAGCTCACTTGACAGCTCGAGTTTTCTTGCAAACACGAAGCTCGCTTGACGCTCGAAGCTTGCCTGAATTCATTGAGCTCGCTAAAATAGCTCAACTCAACAAAGGCGTTCAAACTCGCCTGAGCGAGAGAAACAGTGAGATTTTTCATTCAAAGTATTCTAGACCACATTCAATGTGATTTAGGTCTGAAAACTTTGAAGGGGGCCTTGTAGGCAGTGAAAATTACCTAAGTGTTAGAGCCCGCCTGCCAAGAGCTTGGGCTCGTTTGCAATCAAACTAAGCCCAGTAGAGCTTGCCTGTAGATCTCAATTGCCCATATTCATTAAGCTCGCCTGTAGAGCTCAACGTCACCTGACTGGCCTCGCCTCCTTATTGAGCTCGCCCATAGAGCTCAACCTTGCCTCTTTATCGAGCTCGCTCGTAGAGCTTAACCTCGCCTGTCAATGGAGCTCGCCCGTAGAGCTCGGTCACCTTTCCTTGTTGAACTCATCCGAAGAGTTCAACCTCACCTCTTTATTGAGCTCACCCGTAGAGCTCAATCTTGCCTCTTTATTGAGCTTGCCCACAGAGCTCAATCTAGCCTCCTTGTTGAGTTCGCCCATAAAGCTCAACCTCACCTTTTCATTAAGCTCACCCGCAGAGCTCAATCTCTTATGTTTATTGAGCTCACCCATAGAGCTCAACCACTCACAATTGTTGAGTTCGCTCACAGAACTCAATCTCTTCTTGTACTATTGAGCTCTCCCGCAGAGCTCGATCTCACCTGTTTATTGAGCTCATCCGCAGAGCTCAAGCATTGCCTGTTATCTTGACTCGCTCGCATGAATCAAGCTCGTCAAAACATTGAGCTCGTCAGCACGAGTTCAACCTTGCCTGAATGCTTCGCTTGTCCGCACGAGCTAAGCACACATGCAAGGAGTTCGCCCGCACGAACCCCGCTTGCCAACGAACACCAGTTCACACTTTAGATGGGCCCGCCAGCCGACCCTGCCTATTCGCCAAGCTCGCTTGTAAGCTCGCCTGAGCATTCAGACAGTTCTCGAGCTCGCTCTTAGCTTTGCTAGCCTCGCCTGAGCAATTGCTTGTGGGAGTGGGCCTACCCACTTCCCACGTCCTGGGTGATGATGAGGCATGGCTCTCACCTCCTCTATAGTGGTCACATCCACAGTTAGGGGAGGGCATGATGCTCCTCACCCACTAGTGGTCAAATCCCACAAATCAAAGGATGGCCCATGCCATCCCTTGTCTATTTAAACCCTCCTTCAGCCAACAAGAAAGAGGTTGGACATAGGCTGGAGAGAGGCGGAGTTTTTTACCCTGGGCAGCTACCCAAGGCAAGCAAGCTCTGGTTACGCCACTGCCTGAGAGATAACTTGTGCATTAATATAACACATAGCTAGATTAATATAAACCTAAACATAAATACATTTTTTAGTTATTATCATTAATGTTGATTTTTATCTTATTAAAAATCTATGTTGTTATAAGGACATTACTAGAAAATAAAATTTTATTCTCACTTATGAACTAATAATATCAAACATTGGAATAGGATTGAGATTTTTATTCTAGCTTTATTCTATAAATGCACTCAAAAAGAGAATTGAGAATGGTGATTTTATTCCCACATATATTCTATTTCATTTATTCTTTCATTCCATTCTCATTTGAGTCTATTCCCGCGTACCAAACGAGGTATTAATGCTCGAGGAAAAACATCAACACTTACATCTAAGAATAACCATAACTACACAAGTCTATCTAAGAATAACGATAACTTCACAAATCTAAGAATAACGATATCTACAAGTTTAAAGCAGCTAGTAAGAAATTTTATTCTAGGAACATGAAGAATATTCAGGTTAGCTGGGGGGTATAAAAGGCGCCCTCGAAAAATACAAGGAAGAAATCGCTGGTAAAAGGAATAATATCATCCACCCTGGGCAAAGTCAACAGCATCAAGCCAGCCGAGCCAACCCATACTTTGCTGGAGCTTCTAGAGGTCAGAAATGTGACGTTGCCATCCAGATAATATAAATACCAAATGCCAGATGCCAGATCAAACAAATACATCAAGCATCCAGCTAAAAGCCTTTGCACAGCTCTGTATTAGCTGTAAAGGCCAACTTTTGAAACCTGCAAAGAAATAATGCCAATAATACGGCACACGCAGCTAGCTTTCGTCTGAACAAATAAGCAAAAACTTATTCTAATGACGTCTACTTAAGGAGGGGAAAAACTTTACATAAAACTTTTTTCTTTACCACAAAACTGATATTAATGACAAAAAAAAGCACAAATTTAAAAGAAAAACACTTCCAGTTTCTATTCAGTATCTTGGAACTTCTCTAAGAGGAAGCATGGGCCTGGTTGATATTGGTGAACCGGAGGGAGAGGAGGCAATGTGGAGCACAGCAGAAGGATAATAGCCGGCTTCGTCAATGCCTTCTGATGTTGAAGGCTCATCTCTAATCATGGTTCGAAAAGATATTGAGCCACGCTTTGTAGAGGCATCGGAGTTTCTTCCAGTATCGGCAAGGCTCCCAGTGTCAAGATAGCTTTGGTTGGCAACTAGAGAAGCGCTATCATGGTAATAGTCATCATAAGGCATTTCTTGAATTTCAATTTGCCCGAGGTCTCTCAACGCCAATGAATCTGCCACCGGAAAATAGACCAGCATGAAGATGCCCACCACTGCACTAAAGAATAGCATGCAGAATGCCAGGAACACAATGGCTTCGAACGCCCAACTGCCCGGATGCAAAAAAGCAGATAATGTGAGAAGTGCCACTCTCAATGGAAGGGAGAGAAAGATTGATGATATCAACCAGTAAACCCTTCTTCGAAGCCGCTTGTTGATTACCAAAGAAAGCAACCTTCTTCCAACATACAAGGCATACAAGATGAGGAGAAGATCAAAAAGACCTAGAAGACTAGTGCTGAACAAAGGGTAAGTGCAAACTCTGTGGCTGTCTTTAACAATGGAGGAGGTATTGATGAAGTACTTGTACATCTTTGTTCCCCCATTCTTCTTCTCATTTAGTTTCGGACCAATGAAAACTAGCGCAATTTGCATGCCAAGAACAGGAAGGCAGAGAAGGAGGACATACAGAATAGCTTTTCTGTTCCATCGCTGGCTCAAAGTTCCTGAGTCTCTCTTCTTCAGTGAGGCATGAAGAAGGAATATAAGAGCGAGAAACATGCTCGGCTCTGCAAATCCAAAATTGGAAAGGATGTAGAACTTGCAAACATTCTTCTGCCATGATGCACTAGAGAAGAGCCTCAATCTCTCTTTCAGTAAAGTTAGCCTAAGAATCTCCCAGATGCCCCACCAAATTGCAACCAGAACGAGGGCAATGCGAGTAACCCAGGGGCCATTAAAGTAAACAAGTTGAAGAAAGTCTCGTCTTAAGATCCTTATCTGAAAATAGAGAGAACGGTAGATGCAAAACAAACCGAGAAGAATGAGAAGAGAGACCAGAACTACGGTTACCACACCGAATGCCTCGGCAGAAAATCTGGTCAGGGGCATGAGCCAAATCACAGATTCCACGCATGCTCTCCGCTAGCCCCTCAATCTTGTAAAATAGTAGATGAACCAAATTGGAATTCTTTAAAAAGAATAACTTTCTCCACCAGCGCACTTCCAGTTGTCAAACAAGCAACGCAAATCATTCCATATCTTGCTTACTACAGTTCTCTACACTGTTGCAATTATGCAGTCAGTAGAATGTCCTCGGTAAAAACTGAATGCAACATATTAATAATATGAACCCTGTTAAATGTTGAGAAAGAGCGAAGAATAAACAAGTTACAATATCAAACAAATCATACCAACTACAACCAATACCAAAGGATATAAAAACTTGAGAATATAAAATTCAAAAGAATTGTCAATTGTCTGCATCATATCATCTTGCCAAGTGCGAGACTCTTCAATGTAACTAAATAATGATGCTTTATTAGACAGTCAGGAAACCCAGGGCAAAACGTGAAATTAAAACAGGATGCACTTGAATATTAGAAGGCCACAAGAATAGAAATCTTTACAGAAACAAATACCAATAGTATAAGTTGATGCTCTTCACAACTAACAGTTTCCCCAACAAATTATAACACCAATCATAATCGCATCAGCATATCTCAATATACGATGGCTCCATGAAAGAAGTGACCAAAATTACGGAAGACATCAATGCAGTGCAAAACCTGTCTAATTTGTTGCCAATTGCATGATGCGACAACTTTTGCGAGATAACAGAATGGTTAATTTATAAAAGTATTCAACTGGCTGTTACAAGCAGCTGATGCTCATTCTCTTGGTGTATAAGTGACTTTCAATTTTAAAAAATAGAAGCACGATATGATCAAGTACTGCCAACTCACTACGAATACTTACCATTTTTTATAACGTATTTACAGTAAGAACCAAAAACTTACTATACCAGTAAAGTGTCCAGATAAGTACACCAATGGGAACATTGATAGTTTTCAATACAAAAAAAAATGTGACGTGAAATGGTCAGGGAAATTTTTGATGATAACTGTAAGAACAATTGGCAGTTTGAAGAAGCCAACATTTACGGCATTCAGCGGAAAAGGGCTAGTCACAAAAAGCTAAAACTTACCAATAGTGATCAGGACATTAGCACACAGAAAATACTATAATGGAGAATTTTTGGTTTACAGCTAAAACTTAAATGCATAATTGCCAGATAGACACACGAACGATAACAGCATTGGACAAGGGACGACATTTTATTAGAAACATAAGACAAGCCTATTAGGTGTTAGCAAGACAATATTAACCTACTGATCCCATTAAGACCGTAGCTGTGAGCGAACAAGAAAGCCTAATGGCAGCCATCAAGATACCGACACTAAGCGACACGTCAAATCTCAGCATACTGGAAACTATCAAAATACCTGACAATGTGACGTGTCTATCACAGCCTATTGGCAATCACCAAGATACCGACACTAAGCGACACGACAATCCCAGTCGCACTCGTCAAGAAAGGAGCTCCCTTAAAAACCGCAGGCTGACCAGAAGCCACCAACATTAAATCAAAAGTACAGAAAAGAGAGTTCCCATAAATACCAATAGCCTCACTGACGACAATCAAGACAAAAGAATTTACGGCATTGGCCAAAAACAGTGCGTTCACAGGAAGACCACAACGTCGATTGGCGGATATTGGAAAATGAGGACCATGGCCAATTGAAAGACACAGACTTCACACTCTTATAACCTAATACTCGTGCAACCAAAGGAGCAAGCGTCCAACCCTACGCAGCTACCACCTATTTGAATGACACACTAAAACAACCATCCCAAAAAAACCTCCTCGCAGCATAACCTACATATCGATTTATCAAATAGTCAAGAGACAATCTTTGTCATTCCTTCTAACTGTAGAACACCGGCATTTCTTCCACTTACCTGAATAATCAAATCCTTGCATAAAATCAAGCTTCCATAAGCTTGATCTCTAAACTAAAAACAGTATTTTCTCCACAAAAGCTTCAAAGAAGCCGTAAAATCATATATCATTTATGCTTGCAAAGCAACCAAACACAATTACGCCGACAAGTCAAAGTCATTTCTTCCAATTCCTAAATACCAACAAGCCAAGGCATTAACCAACGTGTCGCATAATAAATCACCAACACAACCCCTAAATACCACTCCTTTAACATCACATCTTCATTAACCCATGTTAAAATTATAGGAAAAACGAAATGAGTAAATCCTAGATTCATCTAAAACTTCTCCCCAATCATAAACCTGACAGATTCAACCCACAACACGAGAGAGGAGGAGGTACCTCAGCGGAGCATCCAGCATTCAAACTTCCACGACGTAGAAACCCTAATCTGAGCGCAGGGAGGCCAAATCCAGCGATACCAGGGTCAAGACGAAGCCCTTGGAGCGCTGAACCCGGATCCAAGAACCGCAGCGAGAGATCTCAGAAGCCCCGGGATCAACGAGGGGAAAGAGGAAGAGAGAGAGAGAGATGGGGGGAGAGAGAAACGAAATTCGTAGAGAGAAAGAGAGAGAGCGAGAGAGGAAAAGGTAGAGGAAGAAGAGAGAGAAAGAGAGGGGGAGGAGGGAGAAAATGGGGTTGGGTTGCTGACAGGCTGTCACCAGCTGTAGTTAGGCTCGGAGTTAGGTTCGGAGTTATAGAAATCAAATTATTATTGTTTTTTTAATATTTCGTATTATATATACGTGGGACGGACCCAGCTCCTCTTGTTTTGTCGACCGCAGGCGGAGGGGTTTACCGCGGTTGAGCGTATCACTTCTTATTTACCCTGTTGTCCTTTATGCAACCGGGTCGGGTTTCATCTTTTGGGTTTCCGTGTCTCCCCTAATTAGGGGTGAGCATTGTTCGGCTCACACCAAACAAACCGACCGAACCGCCCGACTTTGGGCAGTTCGGCTCGGTTTTGAACTGTTATCGGTTCGGGTCGGGTTCAGGTAACTTCAACCCGTATTAATCGACCCGGCCGAACTTCATTCACAAATGTACGCTACCCGTACTCATTACCCGACTCCGACTGTATAAAATGAAATCCCTGATTCACAGCTCCTAAACCCGAATCTCCAACCTCACCAGGTTGCAGTCGTCGACAATCCAACTCTCTCCATCTCCTTGCCCTCTCCAGTCTCCACCCCTCACCTCCTCGGCTCCTCCCCTTCTCTCATCCGTCTCTCCCCCTCAAACAATCATCCCTTCAAAACCTAATCTCCAACAAATAGAGGTGAATCCATGTCCAGCTCGAGGTGAATCCCTGTCCAGCTCGAGGCCGTCGCTCGTCGTCGTCGCTGAGCTCGAGGCCGCTGACGCTGAGACCTCGTCGCCTCTCATCGATTCGAGCAGCTTTCAACCCCTGGATCCTCAGGTATGAACTTCTCTTGTGTAAACCGACCGCACCGACCCGAACCATAACACTTCGGTTCGGTTCGGTTTTCTGTAGAGTGTCGGTGCCATTCGGTTGTCAAATATTTGGTCGAAACCCGACCGTCTGAATGCTCATCCCGAACCCTAATTACCGAAAGAGGAAAGTTCAGTTCAAATCAAAGGCTTAGGGATCTCTAACAAGAAAATAAATTACTAGTTTGTGTGTGTATATATATAATAATATAACTTCCCTTAAAAATATAAGTTCGAAAAAAAATTATGATTAATATTATTCTTTACTATTTTAAATATTTTATTTAGATCTTATTTTATCCTAATTTAAATTATTATTGTACTAATCCCACGTGAACTATATATATCTCAATAATTTAAAAAAATAAGATTAATAAAACATATGAAATACTATTGTGAATATTTCATTTAAATTCTAATCTATCTTGATACTAATTATATTATATACTAATCCCACGTGAACTACCTATAGTGCAACAATTTAAAAAAATAAAATTAAGAAATCATATGTAGCTAACATGTTATAATACATGAAGTATTACCAAAAAACCCAAAAAGTTTTCAAAATTATACAAAATACTCTCAAAAGTTTAAAATTACACAAAACACCCTGACTTTTCAAAACATAAAATAATAAACATGAAATCTAAAAATTAACAGTAACCCCCAAAGTATTTAAAATTTACAATTAACACCCTCGACATTTCAAAAATTATAGAAACGTCCTCAAAAGTGTAAATTACAAAAAAGCACCCTAAAATTTTGAAATTATAAAACTTACAAACAACATAGATGAATTCAAGGGATTACTAATAGGCATTTGAAAATTTAAAATAAGCAAAAATAATTCAAAGTTACAAAAAATGTAAAAACTCTCTCAAAAGTTAAAAATCGCAAAAACCTAAAATTTCAAAACTTATAACGAATATACATCAAATCAAGAAATTATTAGTAGACTGTTGAAAAATTGAACTTTATAGAAAATAACCCAATTTGTAAAAAACACCCACAAAATATCAAAGTTGCAAGAAATATCCTAATATTTAAAAACTTACCATCAACACATAAAATATGAAAATTACAAGTGTAGGGTCAAAATATTGATGTTGGATTGATTCTCTTAATTTAAGAAATGGGTTCGATCGCTTGGTATGAAACCCTTACAATCACCCACACACTCTCTTGATTACAGATGAAGAGAAGATTAATTCAGCTTCTCTTTGTTTAACGTGGGTTCTTGGTAGCGAAAGGATGTGAAGAGAAGATTAATTCAGCTTCTCTTTGTTTAACGTGGGTTCTTGGTAGCGAAAGGATGCTTCCCTCGATGCTTGAGCTCTTTGTTTAACGTGGGTTCTTGGTAGCGAAAGGATGCTTCCCTCGATGCTTGAGTCGAGATTGCCTCTCGTTGACGATCAGAACAAGATCGCTAAACCTTCTCACGTTCGTTAACCGGCTGAAGTTAAAGTTCAAAATCCGGATCCGTACGTAGAAACTTTGATCTCTAATGTTTCTTCAAGTCCAAGTCGAAAAATTTTCAACCCTTTTTCTATGTAGCCATCCATGGCTATTTATAGGGTTTAAGCACGTAATTGACGTGCTAAGATCACAGGTAGAGGGGCGTAACTG